GATGATGATTATGAAGAGGAGAATTATTAGAATTATTGTTGCCAACGTTTCCAGAATTTATCATGATGCCGTTATTATTATTGAGGTTGTTGCTGTCCAAAATATTTGTAGTTTCCGGATACATTCCTTTTGGTATGACAATACTTTTTAATTTTTCGTCGTGAATTGGTATTGGTAATTTTTCTTGAATAACGTCGGCTTTAGTGTAGTAACATATTAAATGTAATTTTTGATGTGTGGTGGTTGTGATACTGAAAGATTGTTTTACCAAACCACCATGTTTATATCGGCATTGTTCAGTTGATATTACTTTTTTGGCGGTCGAGGAGGAATGATAAGATTCACTTGAATCAGTGTCTTCGCTTGATAAATCATGAGGATTATTATTACCGCGAGAACTAGATTTACGTTTTGATTCTAATTCTCTATAAGTTAAGAAACTACCACTGACTCTACTTGCAGACCAACTTTTACCATCAGTCCAACGTCTCATACCAGCTTCTCTTTCATCCCAAACGAATACAGAACCGGAGCGAATAGAAGAACGTTCCTTATCGCTTAACCTTCGTTGTATACGAGATAAAAAACCAACACGACAAGCTTCAAAAAGCAAAATAGCGTCTTGAGGTGATTTTACGTAACCGAAATAAGTTTCCATTTTTTTTTAATGCTATTTTGAAAAAATTGGTTGTATTTTTTAAATATGAATATGATACGATTATGAATATGAATAATGAGTATGAGAATATATGATGATGTTGTTGATAATGAGTCAATGTGAATTTTTTTTGCTTATCTAAAATAAGAATAGAAAGACGAAAGATAAATTTTTTGTTAGAATTATAAATTTTTTTTGTAAAGTTAATTAAATAAGATATAAATAATAGTAAATAATAATGATGAAAAAAGTAAAATTATATATACAAATAATGATAAATACATATGTATATAAATATGTGTGTATTGAAAACAGAAGGATTAGTCTAAACAAGTATTATAAATACAAATACGTCATTATTAAACTTAATATAAAATAAACTATGATTACTAACTATTTAATTTATAATAATAATAATAATAATGTAAATACATAAGTGCAAAGTTTAAATTGGAGAAAAAAATTTAATCGGTATTATGTTTTTAAAATTACGTTTATTACTTTTTACTATATTAAGGAAATTAATTAAAGTGTAGACTAAAAACGATTAAAATATTTAATAATTAAAACTAATAAAAAAAAAATAAACTTTATATTAAAAAAATTTAACAAACGAAACAAACGAATATTAATATCACTTACCGATAAATTATTATTGTTATTATTATCAAGTAATTATTGGAGTTTTGAATCGAGGTGATTTAAAGTGAGTTTAAAATCGAGGTTTTAATTTATGTTTTTTTTTTAAAGTTTGTTTCTTCTATATTTATAATTCTATATATATATATTCTATGTGTTGTATTATTTATATATAAAG